ACACACGCACACGCACGCACGCACGCACGCACGCACACACACACACACACACACACACACACAGACACACACAGAGTTGGGAGTTGAGTTACAGTTTGTTTACACATCTATCCAGATGCACTGTTTGAAACAATTTACCCAGTTTGCAGAAGGCCAATTTCTTCTTATTCTTATAGTTCCAATTTGAGTATGGAACAAACTGATTAGTTTTAAGGGCCTGTTAAAGGCTTTTCTTTGATATGAACATGAGTTTTGTCTTTAGGTGATTACTGTAACCTTACTTGAGAGGACCTTGATAATAGATGGATGGAAACATAGAAGAAAGAAGGTTTAAATAAGATACAGTACTGATACTGCTGTTCTCTGTTGCCACAGATAGCTTTCATTTGAAAATTCATGAACAATTTAGGAAATTTAAAATTGCTGGTCTGACAAGCAAGACAGCGTTTATAATATTCGACCATGTCCTCACAGGTCAAATTATCAGGCAGCAATCTGAAAAGTGAAGCCAATATGGACGTACGTACATAGCTACAGTGTAGTTATGTCGATGAAAATCTTAGGTCACAGGCTCCTCCAACAGTGCAACACAATAAAACAGATAACATAGTAAATACAATAAAATAGAATAGAAGTAGTAGTCTATATACAAGTGATAAATAATGTGTAAGTTGCAAACAGGTGAATGCTATGGATGTTCTTAGTTCAGGTGTTTGATAGTCTAGATGGTGCCTCTCGGTGTGTGAAGTTTAAGTGTGATTTGATCTCAAAGCCAATTACACACACTGTGGGCCGCCTTTGTTTTAATTGCTTGTTTGTGGACTACAGTAGCAAAGTGAGAGACTCAAAAGCTTGAGACATATTGGTCTCCTTTGGTCTATGTTTCCTGCTGCAGGCTGTTAAACACATAGACTCTCATATGTGTTCCCTTAACAACCATTTCATGCTGTGATTTTAATTGCTTCCATATTTCTACACAGCATTCAATGCACCATGTCATCTCGATCTATAACAATAGTGTCCTCTGGTCGGAAACAAGCGATCAACTGCCATGGTAACTTATTAGTTTCAATTCCCAGCATTCTGTTTTTTGATGACTTTGAAATGCAAAGCTGATCTTCCCCACCTGAGTGCATCCTCTTGTTATTCATTATCAGGGTTGATGATGCAAGGGACTCAGCTCTCCTCAAAGCCCAAACTCCTGCAGGAGGAGGACAGGGAGTCTGGTATCGGGTCCACTCTTGACCTCAGCAGCAGCTTTGAGATCTACAACCAACATACCAAACACCAAAGCAGCGGTGTTTCACCCAGGGAGGGAGATAGACTCGATATAGAGAAAGGTACAAGAGCAGCATGAAAGGAAGAATCATTTCCTGGCACGGCAGCAGGTCTGATGTCTTTGAAAAGGCAAATAACAACAGCAGAATCCAAACCACATGCTCATTAGATAAGGACATGCTCGAAATACACACACAGGGCCAGTGGGATCACAGTCTGGGCAACAAAGACAAAGTCCTGATGTTTGCTGGGTAATGTAGTTCTTCAGACGACTTTGATCTCTTTAGCTACGTGAAATGTCCTACTAATGCGATCTCTCTTATACAAAACAATGTCATCAGGTAAATTAAGCTATACTTAGAGGTGTAAAGTTACTACATTTACTCAAGTACTGTACATAAGTACAATTCTGTACTTTACCTGAGTATTTCAATATTTTCTACTGCACTACATTTATTTAATACCTTTAGTTACTTTAGATTTTTGATGTGAAATATAATCAACACTTAATTAAGACTTTAGTTACACCCCGAGTAACATTCACAAGCTACCCTGCAGTATACAAACTAATTTGAACTAGCTGCACCTTTACCAGCTTTGATAAACACATAATACATTAATAATTATAAGAAAAACATATACTAAAATGTGCTAATCTGCATAATGGGTACTTTTACTTTTGGTATTTTAAGTTTATTTGATGCCAACACTTTTATACTCTTACTTGATTAACATTTTGAATGCAGGACTTGTACTTGTAACAGTATACACTCTGATACTTGATCTGAGTACTTCTCCCACTTCTGTCTATACTTAATCATAGAATAAGGCTGGTGTCGTTCTATATCAATCTTACTGTTAACAAATTCTGCAAAAGACCAAAACCTTGAGTGCTTTTGGTAGCTGGTGGTGCATGTGGGAATGACTCAAAACACACTAAAGTGTGTTCTTCCTAACTAAGGGGACACGTCATTGCAACCTTTTCCCTCTTTAATGTGTGTGTAACCTCCCACCATTTCAGTCAGTCTAGTTTATCTTGCCTCATAAGACCATTACACGTTGGGGTTATGACCTGTCTGTTTCTAATGAGCGTGGTCTCTGAGGTCCTATTTGGGTTAAGTGTCTTAAGTGAACAATGTCAGTATGCAGGAGCTGCCTCTGTGCTTCTAAATCACTTCTGTAGGAAAGCTAGGAGAGAGATTAAAGAAATGGAAATGCTTCAAATGACTGGAAAACGTATCTGTGATATATTTGGATAACTTTCTGGTGGTTAGACATACTGGCTTAACCATCTCCTTGTTTTTATTGTTGTTTTAAACAGAAAGCTCTTCACAGACCACAACAGTGACTTCCAACAAGATCCCACAGCTCCTCATCAATCTATCCACGATCCCTCTCCTCCTCATCCTCCTCTTCCTCTTTGTTTGCTCCTTGGACACTCTGAGCTCTGCCTTCCAGTTAGCAGGGGGTAAGTACCATGACCCTCAGTAGCCTCTCATTGGGTTTAAAGTGACTCCCCCGGCTGGTGCCTGCCAAATAAGTGAGTCACTGAGCTGTTGGTCCTGCTGTATAATTTACTGCAGAGGCTGGTGACTGGTGACCTTTTAGGATTTGCAGATACAAGCAGTTAGAATCCTATTCAACATTGCTCTTGGCTAACATGTCGTGTCCGAGAACAGCATTTCTGTATCTCTATGTGTTTCGTATATTTAAACAGGTAAAGTTGCAGGGGAAATTTTCCAGGACAATGCGGTGCTGTCCAATCCCGTGGCAGGGCTGGTGGTGGGGATCCTGGTCACCGTGCTCGTCCAGAGTTCATCCACCTCCACCTCCATTGTAGTCAGTCTGGTGGCCTCGGGATGTGAGTAGGAGCATAACATTGCGGAGAGAACTAATACCACACTGGGAAAATGTTCTCCTAGAAATCGTCCATTTAAAACCTGACTTAAAGGTCCCCTATTATACTCTTTTTCATCAATATATTAGCGGTCTCGGATATATACAAAACATGTCTCTGAAGTGTTTGGCTCGAAATACTAAACAGATCATGCATTGTAGCATCCCATAAACCCCTCTGTTTCAGCCCTGTTTCAAAAGTGCTGATTCTGTGTCTTTAGCTTTAGATGGAAATAAGGAGCCACTCCCCACGCCCCTCTGCAAGATATTTGGTTTAAAAAGAACACTATGGGGCTCTAGGGGGAGATTCAGGCGATAAGGTGGGCGGCAGTTACCTGGTTGGTGATTGGCTAATGGTTACACAAGCCAAAAAAACGTTATGACATCATAAAGTGGCCAAAATCTGATCAGCTCATTTTCAAACAGGTTTTTATATAAATGGATCAGGACAAAAAGTGAGCGAATCTTTTTTCCTGAAGCTTTCACAATCTCTTTACAAAAAGTGGATTTTGCATAATAGGTGACCTTTAATTAAACTATTAGCCGCAGAATATACTGAAATAACCTTATTTTTTGTATTTTGATTTGTATTACTGCTTCTTTCTATAGAAATGCATCATATTCTAAAAAATCATGTCTTTGAAGCTTCCTCACTGCGCTGTGTGAGAACCATGTATGACTGACAGTTTACTTTACATGACCTCAGAGAAAGTGTAATCTGTAAATTACTGTACTCGTGAAAGCTGTTGCATAAATGCAATGGGGTAAAAAGTACAGCATTCGCTCTGAGATGTAGTGGACATATAAAGGGTGCACACAAATAAAATATAAAAGTACATATAAGTACATCAAATATGTACTTCGGTTCAATAATCAAGTAAATGAACTCACTTAGATTCCAGCCCTGGTGAGCTGCCATGTAGCAAAAAGATTTTATTTACGGATTCAAATAAGATTAGACATGTAAGTATGCTATGCATTAAGTTACAATTAGCAACAATATTATAGCGTTGGTCAAATACAAAATAGGTGAAATACAAAAATGTAAATCATTTTCTGAGTGCACTGGGCCCTCAACTTTTCTAGGAAACTGAACTCACAGAAGTAAATACAGCGTTGGTTGAGGACTATTTTCAGCTGTGACTATAAACATGTTTGTTATTTTTGTGAGTATTTCTGGCAGCAAGATGGTGTATGTGGGACTGACTTAAAATAAACTGCATGCCCTTAGCATCTTAATGAAGGGAACATGTCAGCAACATTGTGCCTTATTAGTTTAATAGTTTTTTGTTTCTTTATATTAATTCTATAAAACACAAGATCGTACATAAGACTGAACAGAAAATACTTGTTGGTGAATACATGTATTAAGAGTTTTATCTTTCCATGGGATTAAACGAATAATAGAAAATGTCTTCATCGATAACCTTACAAAAGACATACAAAAAAAGTGCTCTCTGCTAAAATATATATTTTGTGTTTGATTATTAGGACACACTGACTGGTCTGACATTTTAGATTGTAGTACTGTGATAACCATTTGCGAAAAACATCAGGGAATTAATGTAATCTAGTAGATTGGAATGGGATCCAAGGAATAATGAAATCAATATATTTCACACCCTTTAACCCCCCCCCACCTTCTCATTAAGTCTAGTTTATCTTGAGTAAAAAAAACAGTGACATGGTGAGGTGACAGCCTGTCTTTATCTAATGAGTGCAGGCTATAAGGTCTTGTTGTTAACAGAGAATGATATCAGTATGCATGAGCTGCCTTTCAAATCCTTTCTGTGAAAGAACTCAAGAGAATATAGGTAATTATCAAAGAGATGCAAACACATGGAATTGTGTGTGTTTGTGTATGTTCATACATTTATCCATCATAAATGTTATATTGTTCGAGTGAAATGTGTTGTTCTTCGTGGTTTCACCCAACAGTGCTTGAGGTGAGGTCTGCTGTTCCAATCATCATGGGGTCCAACATTGGGACCTCAGTCACGAACACCCTGGTGGCCATGATGCAAGCAGCAGAGAGGAATGAGTTTAAACGGTGAGTGGAGAAAGGTGGCGAGGCACAGCATGAGTGCAGGAGAAGCTGAAGAGCAGGGAATAAGAAAATGAAATGGAAAAGTGAAGAGGATAAGTAGGGAGATGGAGGAAGATTGATAAAAGTGTTGAAAGTGCAAAGGAGAAAGCAGAGGAGGGTTAAGAGAAAGCATTAGCAGCTGCCTGCTGCCTCTTTGCTTCAGCCTCCGTTTAAGTATAATTTATAAGAGTGACAATAATGGCACCAACATACATTGACTCCGCCAGTATCTTTTTGGCATGAAAATATACAGCACTGCACAGATGGCATGTATTTTAATCTGTGTCTGGTAAAAATAAATATAATTGATTAAACATTCATAATTTACTAACTCAAAGTCAAAACTAAACTGCACATTACATCATCCACATATAAAAAACTTGACCCATAAAAAGAAGATTAACAAGCACTCATTTTGAGTGGTTGATCATGTTAATGGCTGACCTTAGTGGACACAGACAATGATTGTGACCCACTGCAGTGCCTTTGCTGGGGCAACGATCCACGACTGCTTCAACTGGCTGTCGGTGCTGGTCCTGCTGCCGCTGGAGGTGGCGAGCGGCTTCATCACCAAGCTGTCTCTCCTGCTGGTCTCCAGGTTCAAGCTGCATCCCGGAGAGGAAGCACCTGAGCTGCTCAAAGTTATCACTGAGCCAGTCACCAAGCTCATCATACAGGTAACTATCAGCCAGTCAGCTTTTGTGATTAACCATTTCTTAAACCGCTCCCCTAAACAGCAAATCTTAGTTTAGTTGACCTAGTCATGGCAGGTCTTCAGTCTTTGGATTTCCGCAGTGAGAGCGATATTTGAAGATTTTGGAAATAGAGTATTTTTCCAAACCAAAGACACAATTAATAAGTGTAAGGAATGTTCTAAACCCTTTCTTTGCGCTAATGCGTGGCGCAACCATTAACATGTCTAGCTGGCTAGCTTACTGCCTAAAGTAGTCGGCCTATCAGAGGGCTTATCGGGTCAATGAGCACATCATTACATTAGTATGTGGGTTACAGGTTACGTGATAAATAGAAGTCACATTTACAGCACTTTCATTGTGTAGTATTCCCCCAAGCCGATCCCGGATGCTGCAGAGTTTGGGCGATAGTTAACCTGCTCTTTGGGGAACTTGTGGACGTGAACAATCAACCCCAGCAATGTTGCGTTGCTCAAAATGTTCCTTGAGATCTATTCATACAGTTGTACTATTTAAAGAGAAAAGGTCCAGCAAGACTGATGTTAGGCTACATTTTTACACTCTGCAGATATAATGCCATAAACACATTTGTTTCTACACTCTAAAAACTAAATCAGTGGCTTTGTAGATATCACAATAATAAAAAGCTATATTACCTTAATAAAATCTCTAAATATCACCAAAGTAATTGTTTGAGTTGGACATACCAAAATAAATGCTTAAAAATCCAACAGTTAATGTTGTGTTCAATTATTACTAATATTTAAGTTGATTACACGAAAATAAATGAGTACTTTACTAACAAATTATATTTTTAAGATATCCTTAATATATTTGGTACATTTCAGTCAAAATATTTGAGAATTGGCTAATTATACTGATCAGTTTCAGGAACAGCAATTATTACTCATTCCAAATCAATATTCTTGAAAAAAAACGTCATGAGTGGACCCCATTAACAATCGCGCGCAAATACAGTGTGCTCATGGGAAATCTGCGCCACATGTGGATACCAAGCAAGGAAAACCCCATGACGAGAAGCACCAGGAAAACTCCCTGAAAATCCTGGTAAGTAGCCAGCTAGCAAAAGTTAATGAAATATTGACCCTGTCTTTGTGCATATACAACTTTATAGCGTGTAATTATCTAAATACTGTCACACTTGCAGCCATGCTGTCGTAAGTCTAGCTAGTTTCTCTGTCCACTTCTACACACGCATGGTGGACACAGTCAACCAGGTGAAGTGTAGCTAACGTTTTACTCAAGTAAAAAGTAGAAAGATTAGCACCTGCTATGTCCGCAGATGTTGTTTCAAGTACCTAACCAACCAGCTGTCTGTGTAGCATAGTTAGCTGTTTATTTTAAGCTCCTTTTACACTGTTATTCAGAAATGCTGTAGTAAAGAAGATCCGCCATTACGTCTACTTTGTAATACTTAACGAGACAATGCCAGCATAATGCTGCCCCAGTGTGTGATGATATTGGCTGGCATGCCGGCCTGACGTGTAACACAACGGCGCCGGCGAATATGTCTGTCTGTCCCGCCATGCCGGAATAACGGCTCAACAGTCTCGCGCGAAAGTATGGATAATATAAAGATAAATGCACCTTGTTTGTGTAAGGTAGCTGTTAGTTTATTTGGGTGATTACTGTATCATGCGAGTGATTTCAGATAACGTCTGCCTATCCGCGGCCCAGCAGCTGTTGTCTTGCCGATATGCACTCTAAAAAACTAAAACGATGATGTTCTCAATTGTATTGGTGAAACATTTTTACACTTAAAAATATTGAGTAAATCTTAAAGCTGTGAAATCATTTAAATGTACCTTTATGAATTGAGTAAATGTAAGTAAAAAAATCAAGTATGTCTAAAGTACCATAACATATACAATTGAGTAAATATAATTAAAATCCTAAGTCAATGCAATAGTAACCCTACAGTAAGTCAAAACCACTGAAAAAATGTGTAGATATCACTTAAATGCTAGATAGAT